TTTACTTGTGTTATCTTTGACTAATATATAAATTTGTTTGACGATCTGAAACATTACAGTGTGACAAACATGCAAAAAGATAAGAAATCAGTAAGGGGGCAAACACTTTTTCACACCACTGTATATTACTTGTGTGGTGTAGAAGAGAATTATTTATCTAGAGATATTGCTTAGGATTTAAAAGTTGTAAATGATGTCATGGGGTAGGACTAGATAAGTCTAACTTCTTCCTACTCCGTTCAAGCATGTACTAGGTATAAGTAAATTGATATTGGATTATTATTGTTGGATATGTGTGAAATTACATGTGTTGACATATCAACTGTTTTACATGCTTGAATGAATAAATCAAATCAATCAATCCTAAAACAACCAGAACACACGTTCAGTTTGTCATTGTAAACCCTATACAGCATAATATTACTGTAATGTTCCTCCTCATATATCTCTGTCAGCTGATGAGCTAAAACTCTTGTACTACTTAAAATAATACATTCTAGCATATAATTTCTAATATCTAATAATATATGTGGTGGAAGAAGTGCAAATATTTTTTACTTAAGTAAAAGTAAAGCTTGATTTATGGTTCTGTGTTGAACCTACATAGAGCCTACGCCGTAGGTTATGCAGGTGCCCTACGCCGTTGAGATTATACTTGTGCACCAGTGTATCTGTTTAACCCTGCAACTGCCAAAACGCCAGTGGACGGTGGCACTTTTATGCCACTGTGTTGCATTTCTTTGCCACTTACTATCAACGGTGACTGAAACTGACCGGGGCATGTTGGAGTTACAACTAATAGATATTGAACAGCAGTTACTTTTACTGAAATTACTGCAACACAGATGAGAGAGAACACGTTGGAGGAGATGGTCTGCACCACCATCGAACCAGCTGAAATAGAATGGGGGGGGGTGTGTTTCTCTGCTTGTGTGGCCACTGAGAGACATGAATGAGGAAACACCCACACCACACCCAGGTATTGGCCTTTAGCAGTTGTTTACTACTGAGAAACAAGAGGCCATACAAGATGATAATCCACACAATAATCCGCTAAACACCAATATCATCGACACATTTCACTGCCAAGGAGAGTGCACGCTGCGGGTCTCAGTTTATCACTAAACAAGATTTTACTATGCAGCACCATAAAATATCATCTTTGCTGTTAGCTATTTAACCCAAGTATGAATAACCACAGCAGTGTTGCCTTATGCCTTACACTGTTTCCAGTCACAAATCGTCCACACTAAACAGCTGTAGTTCCTAAATTTAACTAGTTTCAGGTTTGCTCTAAACAACAAACTAAATATGACTTAATGTCTGGTTTTAGATGTCAGGTCTTCTCAGTTTCATAGTGGGAAACTGCTAGAGGCTCTTAAAGTGTTGAATCATCCTGATACCAAATGGATAAGATATTTGTTTAGCCGGCTCAAAACAATGAAATCTGCGGCTGAAATCTCACTTGGTCTTTCTTTTTCCTTTTTCGGCTTCTAAAACTAGTTTCTTCCAAATGGTCCGTGTAATACATGTTTGTTTTTTCTCCAGTTAACAAAATAGCCCTCTAGTGTGTTGCCTGGGGCCTAAAGTGATAAGTCACAAAAATCTTGAGAATGAAACAATCACCTACTGTGCCTGTAGATTTAGATCGCTGCTGTAAAAATGTTAATAGTTTGCTCCTTTACAGACAGCAAAAGCTGTGTGTAACTGTGGGAAGTCATGTTCTGGTAAATCGAGTACTGGATGTGCCAAACAGGTGGGATGCACATGCAGAGAGGGAGAGTGGTCAGAATAAGTTAGACAAGAAAAACAGATGGAATATACAGTGTTTCCCCTAGGTTTACAGCTTTCTATAGGAAAGTGGCCTGCTTGTTGGCTTTCAAAGACAGTGTGTTGAGTAGCAGTGAGCTTGTACTGACTGTAATACGTGTTATACACCAGGCAGATCCTGGGGATTTCTACTGGGCTGGTAACTAGAGCAAAGGTGCTGTGTTAAATATAGAGGGCAGGTCCCGTCGTTTCCCCAACAACAGCAGAGAGCCCACAATAGCACTGGGTGGGGTTGGAGTGTAGTAAGGTGCCAAACAACAACAGTGTAGCATAGTATCAGCATTTCCATGATCCAAGTGTTCTCTTGAACCTAGTGTAGAAATCTACTGTATCTGAAGTCTCCTTCCAAGTGTATTCAAGTAATGAAAAGTTTACCTTGTCGTTCATCCAGCACAAATGCTCACTGGAGTCATTGTAACTTACTGCATCTTGGATGAAATGAACATTAATTGTACACAATACACAGACACACACACACGATGAGAAACATGTTACTATCTCCCTTCCTTCACTCTGAGCTTGCTGTTGCTACTTGTGTCTTAGCTCAAAGTGCTAGTCTCTGTCTACTGCATGTGTATGTGCCTGGGCCTGGCTTGTTGACTTAAGTTGGCCCATGTGTTGAGCTGCTGCCAGAGAGGAGGGTTCTTGGCTGAGTCAAGGCTAATACAAGTTTAGGGAGTAAGGGCTGGGTTTGTGTGTGGGTGTGAGAGAGTGGGTGTATGGTTTTGTCTGTGCATGTATTTAAGTGTGCCAAATGCTCCAACCAGAGGCATCCATAAATGCTCATCACACACACACAGGATTGTCAGTGACAGGACTTGGAAATTTGACAGTAAGAATGGTATGAATGGTGTAACTACATAAAACATGTTGGTTTACACCCAGTGTATGTACTGTATACACATGTTCATCTGCAAATGTAGGGGAGGACTGTTGTGTTTATCATGTCACCGTTAAATTTACTGCGTAAAGGTACCATAAATGCACCATGAACCCATAAACATCCAGATTTGGAGAGTTAAAACCCAAACACCCTTCCTCCCCATAAACAGTACAGACCAACTTTGCTAACAGTGGTCTCTCTTCTCTAGGTACCTCTTCTTCTGTGCTATATATTAATTGGATCTGGTCTGTGTTGGTATCTGTGTGTGTATGTGAGAGGGAGAGAGGGGCATCAAAGTTTGTATTAACTCTGGTATCAACTAATAGGCTAGCTCTCCTTCCAGTTTGTAGTTTGTTTCTAATCTCTCTCACTGATAAACACACACACCCTCAAAACATCACATATAGTGTATGTCACAGCTATGAGAATGCCACTTTCTCACACCATAGGCAGGGCCAAATGGGTCTTAACCAGGACCCCACAGTTTGAATTTTGTAAAATTGAAAGCACTGTTTCTTTAGAGTCACGCTGATAACATGTTGTCCACGTTGGCAACAAAATGAGAGAAACATCACAGAAGTGTTATTAATACAGAGTTCCATAAATCAAGCATGCCCCTGGTTGGCCCTGTTTAGGGCTGAAAACAAGTCTAATAGCTGAAACAGGGCATGGCTAATCTTGTTATCTCTAACTCTCATACAAACCGTGTATGTGTGTCACCAGCTTGTCCTCTGGGCCTGTCCTCGGTTTTAGCTCGGGTGTGGATATTATTCTTTGCATTTTTTGGTTCTCCCTATGTTGGTATTTTATAATTATTTTGCCAACTGCCCACATTGTACACAGAGCTCACAAAAATACCCACACAAGCAAACACACGCACACTTAACCTATGTTTTGAGAGTAAACCTTGCATCTTTTGTGTGAACATTGCTGATGGGTGTTCAAACTATCTCAGAGATATTCCTCCATATCTAGTGCATTCCTCTCCGATTTGTTTGCTCCACTTCCAACACTTTCCCATCAGCGTGGGAGCTGAGACCACTTCTGAACTTTTCCTGTGTCAGTAAAATGTTTTCAAGTCAAGTCACTACTAAGAAAATGTGTGTGCACAGGGATATGTGTGCTTGCTGATTTATAGCATAGTTCTCTACATGCCTGTGAACTCGGGAGTGAATTCTTTGCGGTGTGTGTGTGTGTGTGTGTGTGTGTGTGTGGACTGAGACTCAGAGGATCTCTGCCAGGGCTTAGGGCTTGGCTGAGAGAACGCTTCAAACCAGTTTACTCTGGTTGTGTAGTGGAGAAGTCCAGGGGCGGGACAAGGACCTCTTAAAGCTGCAGACCAAGCCTCTGTCTGCATATGTGTCAGTCTGCTTTTTATTAGTGCATCTATGATAGTGTGTTCATATGTTAACAGTTTACAGCATTTAGACATGTATTTGATGGATACTCAACTCTGCAACTCACTTTTTTGGGATTGTACACGAAAAGTGAAATCTGCTTTTGTGTGTCTTCAAGTGTGCACAAGCGTGTGGGAGAGTTCTTGGCCTTGCCTTGAATAATTTTTCCCAGTATTTCACGTTCAAGGAAGAAGCAAGAGCAGAGGTGAAGAGTGCAGAATAGAATAGATTGAGAGAAGAAGTCTGGTGAAGCAGAGACATTTGTGCTTCATTCCATGGTGACATAAATGATTGTGGTGCTCTGTCATATTTTTGTGCAAACATTGGATGCCAAGCACAATCTCTGGGAATGTGTGAATGTGTTTGTGTGTTCTGTATATATGTATATGTTTGCCAGTCCGAGTAGGCAGTATAAATAAGGTTTAAGCTGAGGGTAGACTGCTCAGCTTGGAGTGTGCTGAGCAGCAGCAAGAAGGGAGGGACAAGCATCTCTTCCCCCCTCTCTGTAAGCAAGGTTGCACAAGCTGCAGAAATGCACCACCAAAACCATTTGGTCTAGAGGCTTTTCATTACATCCTCATGTACATGCACATACTTAAACACACAAAACTGTAAATTGCACAAGACTTACCGTACATATAATAATGGATCTCTTTGTGCTCTGACTACTTGTTTGCTGCACCATTTTTTACTCTGGAGACCAGGCCAGACTTCTTATTTTAAAATAATTTTCCATTACTCTGACAAACCAGTCAGAGCAGCTAATTGTTACTTATGGCTAAAGGTTGATATGTTCAAACAGTATCCTGGGTAAGGACAAGAACACTGAAGTTAATATCCTCAGCTTTTTTCCTGTGGTCTACAGTATACTTCTTGTGTGTGTTTTGCAGGAAGCCCTCAGGTCATGCTGATAAGGAGGTGATGGCTGCCACTGTCCTGTCCTCACTGTCCACATCCCCTTTGGTGCTTTGCCCTTCCTCTGCACCCACAGGTAAAACCACTGCTTCATGACCAGCAACATTCAACCTTGCACATACAGCAACTTCTGTGGAAGCCATTAAATACAAGCTCATTTTTTCCTATTAAACAAATAAAGGACATTTGGTTTAAATCTTGCAAAGGATGGTTCACTGTCAGAGATGGTGGGACAAAATATTTATTATGTAACGCTTGATTCATTCAATGGAAAGGAGTCTTACACTATTATTAGAACTATTGCCATATCTTTGTATGCATGAACTTGTTTACCCAAGCCCAGCACTTACTGCCAACTGTTCAGCCTTGACCAGTTCAGCACGGACCAACGGCCTAAGTGTTTTTGCAGAGTGTCTAAGCTCAATTAACGTAAAAAGGTGACATAACAGAGTGAATGTAAAAGCAATGTCAAGTTAGCCTATATGAGCTGGAAAGTGAGAGGGGTGACTTGATCTCAAAATAAAGCATTGGCTGGCAACAGGAATGACCTGTCAATCAACAATCAGTGTTTAGATAAACATTTGTGTGATTGCGAGCCAAGCTAATCAAACAGCTAATTGGATATTTTTCTGTACCATCAACTCAGGATGGTAGTTAAGGCTATCAATAAGGTTCACTTCCACAACCAAGGCAGAGATGTATTAGCATAATGAGCACAGCATGTGAACCACAACAGTCCTTCAAGTTCTGCTGGGTTACAGTTATATCAGAAGCTGCAGGTAGTGGCTCGTTAAGTTACCATGGTGGAAAAATACTACTAAGTATCTGCTATATGTAAACATTAAAGACATTAGAATGTACTGCATATATCAGATAGGTTGTCATGGTTTAGGGCTTCTGGGAGATTTTCATTTCCCTTTCAAAGATTAGAGGTTAGGATTGTTATGCATATTGTTCCAAAATTAAATGTTTGGAATTATTATAATTTTTTTTTATGCTGGCCTTTTAAATCAGTGAACACTTGCACTTATATTCATAATTGGCTTTCTTTGCCATTTGCCTGTCAAATATCTTTTTAAGCTCATGGTCTTATATTTGTATATCACCTTTCTATGCTTTTACAGCACACTCAAAGCGCTTTCACACTATTTGGCCATTCACCCATTCGCACTCCCAAACACTCACACACCGGTGACATCACCGGGAGCAACTGGGGGTACAGTGTCTTGCTCAAGGACACTTCGACATGTTGACTGGACAAGCCGGGAATCGAACCGCTAATCCGCCGGTTAGGAAACGACCCGCTCTACCTCCTGAGCCACAGTGGCCCCCTCATCTTGCCATTAATCTAAAGTTAACTGTGTGCATTCCCAGAGCCAGTCAGCAGGGCTTGGAAAGAGGCGCTCTCAGCTAGCTACAGCAGTTCGACTAGTGGCAACTGGAGCTGGGATGCCAGCGACCAATCAGTGCCATCGACACCGTCCCCACCTCTCACCAACGATACCAACAAAAACTTCCTGCTCTCGTCCCACGGTGATGATGTCAATGAAGATGTAACAGTGAGCATGCATTTCATGTTTGAGGACCCCATACCACGGAAGAGAAAGGTAACATTCATGGCGTGTTCTGCATCTTGTAACAGTCATTATGCAAACAGGGACAGTTGTATGTTTAGTTTTTATGTATTATGTATATGTGTTCTCCAAAATTTCTGCTTGTAATGGGAAGAAAATTTGAACAATTTTGTTCTCACTGAACAACTCCTGTTTTGTCAATATAATATGCTGTGATTGAAATGTTAACTATAATGTTTCACTTTTTGCTCATTTTTTCCTAAATTTCATTATCAATACAAGTGATAAGGCACAAACCAGTGTAATACCTATCTTTTTCTTTAGCATATGTAGTATGTTTTTAGGACTAACATTGGCAGTATTTGAAATTGATTTAACAAAAGGTGAAAAAGATGAAATGTAATTTCTAAATGTGGACAAAATGAGCCTTCTAGTATCTTCATGCTTTAGACTTTGGTTGCTATGGCCACATTTTTCATCGATTTTGGTTGAAGGACTAATTATGAGTCCTGAACAGCTAGAAGACATCTATTGTGAAATATCTACTGAAGTGCACTGAAAACATTCAGAGAATGTTAACACCATGCAGTTAAACAGCCTCTGACAGCCCTGTTGCTCTCTGATTGTGTGGATGATGGATTGTTGTCTTTTTCACTCTTTTGCTGTAGAAGCAGCCCTGAATGACAAAGTGTTTTTGCTGTCAAGAAACTTTCCATACCCTGTTCAGCCTTTACAGGTGGCTGGGTAGGGTGATTTAACAAGAAGGAAGGGGAAGAAGTAGAAAGGGAAGGGGTGAACAACAGGAGGTAACAAAGGATGCATGAACAGGGGGACAGTTAGAGGACGTAGAGGAGGGAAGGAGAATTGACGCTCAAAGTAGCAACAGGAGGCGCAATGAATCTCAGTATTTCCTCTAGCCATACAGAAACAGAGGGAAGCTCATATACTGTGCAATATGTGGGAGTTTGCACTTCAGCCTCCCTGGAGTATTGTAGCAGTGAAGATTATTGAGCTGCTGAAACCATAGAGAGTCCAAGGACGATGGTGCCAGAGACCCATGCTATGCCATAGATAAACAGGAAGGAAATGTGGAATAACAGTATGAGGAATGTAGACACACAAGCTGTGTGGAAGAGGGCTAAAACATGAGCTAACTAACTGCCTAGATTTGTGTTGTAATATAGCCGACGTCAACCGCAGAGGTCTAAACCTTCTATGAGCCGCTGCCCCTCGGATTGTAGGCTTTTTGATTTTGTGCAGGCATTGGGTTAAGAGGATTATTAAAAATGGCAATCACCAGTCTTGCTGTAACTGTATTAAGATGCAAGAAAAACGCTTAGGGAATTAAACACTTTGTGATTTTGGGATTAAAAACTAGCTTTGCTGTGTAATTCTTTGTTAAGAAGTTTGTTTGAAACAGCACGGTAGGGGACGTGCTTATAGATGAACACAGAGAAAGAGAGTGACAGTCATTGAGAAATACTGTAGTTCTTACTCTCCTTTTTTCTTGCCTTTCTTTCTTCCGAGGTTGTTGATGAGAGCACACACCCAGTTGTCTTTCATCAGCACTGGTGCAGGTCCCTGCTTGCTCACGGGGCAGCTGCCAGCCCCTGATACATGAAGAAGAAAATTAATTGATATAAAAGCACAAATGCCATCTATCTTCTTGTGGCTTGCTTATGACCCGAGTTGTAGATTTTTAACCAGATTAGTAAAGGATAAGATCTGCTACTTTTGGTGATCACAGGTTAAAAAGAGGTCACAGGTGCTGCTTTGTGTGTCTATCTTTGTGTACACAAGAAATTTAGTGTTACATGTGTGTTGTGTTAAACATTAGGGAAACCCCCTATCTGCACCCTACCAACCAACTGTTTCCGTTGCAACACCCACAGCGTGCGCAGATAGAAGGAAGAAATCAAAACAGTATATTTGTTGTCTGTGAACAGGAAAGTACACTGAGGTACTACAGTGAAGGGTACATGCTCATTGTCCCCGCTCTGTTCCTGTCTTGTCTCTTTCACTTTTACTCTTTTATATCTCTAAACTTGTCACATATTGGGTTTGTATATTTATAGACCTGTTGCTGTAACCACTGTCAGTGCGATAACTTGATGAAACTTACTATATAAACCTCTATTTCCCTTGAAAGACTCATTGGTGTTCTGCAAATAATATGTTTAGTTTGATCTCTTTCTACATGGGCTGATGTTTTCTCATTGTTGATGACATTGATGATTTAAACCTGAAGTTCTAAACCAAAGATTGATGCAAAAGCTCAAATGTACAGATTACAACGTGAACATCACTTACTTTTGAATGTATTTATGTTTACATTTTGCCACACAGTTCGTGTGAGACACTGCGTTGTGTTTACAGTAACACAAATCAGCTGATGATGGAATCTGTCTCTTTCAGAACTCCATGAAGGTGATGTTCAAGTGCTTATGGAAAAACTGTGAAAAGGTCCTCAGCACCTCCTCAGGAATCCAGCGACACATCCGCACTGTCCACCTGGGGTGAGCTGCTAACACACTTTTACTGTCCTTCAGGTGTCACTGGTTCCATTTACAGGGAATCTGATGCACAGTAAAAGGTTTACAACGCTGATAATGAGATGAATATTTTGGGTTCCCTCCTTAACCTTCATTGTTTATTTCCTCATGCTGCCTAGTTCTGTGTGTCTTAGGCATAGTTTTTGTCTTACCCAAATCCCTACACACACGCACCATCATTGTGTTGTATGGTGAACTTTATGATGTTTATTTACCTTGAATTGATACTGTTGATGTCTGCTGTTTGTCGAACTGTATGCTTAGTGTTTCACTTTAACAAAGAGCTTCACTGTGTTGGTGTCACTTTAGTAATCCCTTTTCTACAGCTTCAGGGTAGTGGTGTCAAACTTTGTAATGTAAATAGTGTGGTAAGACAAGAAAAGTGACACACATATCAATTTACAGAGCTTGGCTGCTGTCCACCTGTCTGCCTTCACACCTTACTAGATGAGCCTGTGTATTGCCGCTTCTTCACATTCCCGTTTCTGCCTTGTGCTTTTAACAATACACCACTAATCCCACTGACAATAGCTAGCCTATAATTTTGAGTTTGCATAGATGGTTTTGTTAGGAAGATTTAGAAAGATCTGAACAAATTGAAAGGGAGTGTGTGTCCTACTGTTAATCCATGTTTTCCCTTAGTTATTATGGTTTCATCACCAGCCCGTTTGTCTGAGGACTGCACATTGGCTTTCACTGCCCCCTGCTGTTAGGAAGAGTGACCACTTTCTGGGCTGGTTTTTTTTTTTTTTGGGGGGGGGGGGGGGGGGGAAGTCACAGCGCGTAGTCAGTGGTGCTTTTGTCTTTCTTGACCACCTCAGTCTCAAGTCAGTGTTTTAAAATGTACCTTTTAAAAAGCATAATATGCTTTATTTGTTGGTGCAGTTTTGGTAAAATCAAGCAATTAATTTAACTAAAATAAATACAAATCTTCAACCATTTTCAAAACAATACTGAACTAAGATTAAAACTGCTCACAAAAATATACTACTGTTGAAATGGAATAAATGTTTGTTAGCACTTCTTTAGTACAGAGAAATGTTAGCATCTAACAGCATGAGAATAATGTGCTATCAGATAGAAATGATAATATATTACAGGCGTACTCATTCAGCCTTTAGCAAAGGCACCAACCTTTAGGAGGAATCTCACCACCTCAGAGGAATCTCCATATGAGATATTGAACCTGAGGCATCAGATTAGTGGTTGCAGATGGGAGAGAAGTGAGTGGAATCATTTCAGATACATAAAGTAAATACTTCTCTGGCAGCCTTGTGTATAGATTTGAAATGAAAGATAAAAGTCCGTTCTCAGCTCTCAGAATACACCTGTATTGCCTACATAAGATGTGGTTAAGAGAGAGATGCGAGAATGACCCTGCATTAATAGCGTGAATGGCCAACGTAGTGTAAAGCTGTGCATCAATAAAACTCATGTGGTCAGAGCACTTAGCAACTACAAGAAAAGAGGGGCACCAGTAGCAGTAGAGTTGGAATCAGCCCTGTCTTCAGAAGTCCTCATGTATGTGTTTTTTTTTTACAGAAAAAACTGAAATTAAAAGAATCTTGGAAACTTGTAATTGTTAAATTGTTGCTGTTTCTCTCCTGCAGGCGAAACAGCGACTCGGACTACAGTGATGGAGAGGAGGACTTTTACTACTCAGAGATCGAGGTCAACATGGACAGCCTGACAGAGGGCTTGTCCAGCCTCACACCCACCTCCCCCACCACAGCTGGTCCTCCGCCCGTCTTCCCTCCACCGCTCACAGATGTTCTTCACTCTGAACACATGAACATGATTGGTTTGCAGAGCCACAGCCCGACCTTGCTCAGTCAGTCAGCTCCTTCCACGCTCTGCCACATCCGCACTGACCATGCCTACCAGGTAATTCACACACACCATTAGACAGGCATTGGACACATATACACAAACATGACTACATTTAATTTCTAAAAAAAAATGCTACTGCACTACTATTGAACACAAAACAAAACATGGAGCAGTCCATATGTTACTAAGCTAAGTTTGAGTTTTTGATTGTATGGTATCTGTAAAGGCAGATTTTAGATTTTTAGATCAGTGTAGAAAAATATCCCCTGAGGTCAGAGAATTGCTCCTTCACCAGTGCGGGAGTGTACATCACAGAGACAAAGGAAGTCACTTGCTTGCGAGTATTAACAGACGTTCACTTGAAGAATGAAGTCAGAAAATTTTTTTAGCTAGAAAAATTTTGTCATGAGACTTAATTTAGCTTATTTTTCTGATTTCAAGACTTTATTTTGAAAGGCTTTGAAGCCACTTTGGTTATTCGTGTTTTTCGCCTTCTCTTTGTTCTTTTCCTCTTCTCCTAACTCCACGCTTAGAGGTAAAAATGATGTTTTAGCTTGAAGAGCACATTTGGTTAAAGTATAAATCTTTAAAATGTTCAGTTTGTGTCAGAATTCGGTCTTTTGCAGTGGTTTGAGGTACTGTGTATCAAACTTTCAATTGCCATGACAACGCAAAATGTGCATAAAAATAGACTTAATTTATGCCAATGCATTGAAACGACGTCTCCTGTTTTCTTTACTCTGTGTTGTTTCATACTCTTCTATTCACTAAAACTAACTTGGTGTAGTATATGTTTTCTACCAGTGCCTGGTAATATTGTTGAACAGTTACTGTAAAACACTCATCATTTCTATTTATGTTAAATGATGTTTGTTGTTGTTTGTTTGTTTTTTGGGGTTTTTTATCTTGATTTGTGGTCAGCGTTGATATAAGGGCAGATTTGGCAGAGAAATGCCTTCCACAGTAACTTATATGATCTCTCTTTCTTTTTCTGTACCCTCTTTCTGTCTGTTCGTCTTTGCACCTTTCCTGTCCCTCCTTGTTTCTGTCATGTCCTCTCCTGCCTGTGGTGGGGTGGTTGTCCATGTTCCAGGCCACTGCTCCTGTGAATATTCCACTGGGACCTGAACTGGCTGGGTTAGGCAGTGGTAATGGGACTGGGCCTGGAACTGGGACTGGTAATGGCATCAGTGTGTCATGGCAGTCCCCTCCTGTCATTTTCAAAGGTGGCCCGGTGAGTGAGGCTTTGTCTGGCACCTTTTTTGCCTTTATCTTAACTCCTCTCCTGCTGCTACTAGTAGCATTTGAGCTTTTTGTTGCTGTGGTTTTTCACTCTCCCTGATTCCTCATACCATCATCTTTTTATGCCGATAGACACTAGTCTTTCTGCATGTAGGACAACTCAATCAAAGATTCTATTCAAAGTGCTTCACATGAAAGCATTACACCAAACATGCATGTATGTACAGCGTTACCTACTATGTGCTGTCTTAGTACTGGGTATGTACAACCAGGTAAAACCTGTACAATTAAATAAAAGCAAAAATGAGTATGAAGTAAAAACAGATCAGACTGAAAGAAACTAAAGGGCCATCATTGCTGTGAGTCAGTCTCGGCTCAGGTAGCAGCCAGGAGACAGTCAGAGGACCTGAGGGACACAGGAGGCACATATTGTATTGTAACTGAAAGCCATACATTTGCTAATGTCTAAAACATGACGATGCAAACTTGGATGTAATCCATATAATCAGTTGTGATAACCTGTGCTAATACTGTACTGTATCTTGTTGAAGTTTATTTTGACAGGATTTGACTGAATTAAGGTTCTGCATAGCTGTTGTTGTCATTTTGTGTTTGTCACTGTACAAGCTGCAGATGATTTTTGTTTGATAAAATAATTGACTTTTCCTTTGTCCAGTTATTTTTGAGATGCTGTGACGCTTTGCTGTATCAGTAATGCATAGAGCAATGTACTTACAGTGCCTTTCCACCTTTGCAGGGCCCTGTGACTCATGTTCGAACAGTTAGTGTCGGTGAAAAGCGTCAGCCGGCAGCCAGCGCACACACTGCTGTTAACAAGAACCATACTTTAATAACGCCGGCAGCTAAATCAGCACCAGGAGCCAGGTATGCAACAGTCATTTACTGTGTGCACATGTCTGTGTGACTGTGTCAGTGATCTTAAAATATTCTAGTTAGAAGGTGGGGCCAGTTGTACTCCATGTACAGTATCTTTAGTGATTCACATTCACTGATTTATCAGTCACCATTATGAATACCGAATGTGTTTTGTTCTTTTATTTCCTGGCTGTGAGTTGGTCACATTTAATGAATGTTGTTTTATATACTGTATATTATATATATATATATATCACTGTTCATCACATAAATTTGCTAACAGCGATTAATTTTATACTGATTCTATTCTAGTTGGTTGCACTGTTATAAATGACTCTGATCCTTTAAACAGAGGAATAATTATAATTATTTGTAGAAGAGGTGTGTTGGAATGGTTTCCAAATGGGAAAACTAATTATAAGTTACATTTATATTGACATTTGACATGTTTAAAGAAAAAGCACATGCATTTGTACGTGGGCCTGATTGTACCTCCACATGGACACATTTCAGTGCATTGTACATACAGTATTTGTATGTTTTTTGCCCGTGTGGGCGTCTGGATGTCTGTGTGCATGTCCTTATGCTGTCATATGTGCTGTTACCAAGGAAACCCCGCGGGGAGGCAAAGAAGTGCCGAAAGGTGTACGGCATGGAGAAGAAGGATATGTGGTGCACAGCCTGTCGCTGGAAAAAAGCCTGTCAGAGATTCACCGACTAATCCAGTCCCCTTCCCATGTCCATGAGCTGAGCTCTTCCTCACTCAGAGCGACAGAGAGGCGGAGCTCTCGGTGCTGCTTCTTCCAGTCCAGCAGGGACTTCGCCTTCTCTCTTTTCTGTTTCCAAACACAAAGAGAAAATAAAACTGGTGGGTAAAAATTAACAAAAAAGAAATAAAACAAAACAAAACAAAAAAAAAAAACAGCAAGAAAACCTATTTTATGCAGGTTTGGAGACTTTTTAAAAGGCAGACATTTTCATGCTGTTGATGGCTAAGTAAAAGAAACATTTAAATTAGATTCTTAACCTTCTGATTTGACTTTTTGGTTTTCATTTTCTGTTTTTCACAGCCTCAAATCAAGGCGTCGTTTAAAGACTACAGCTAAACTTTGTAGTATACTCTTTTGTTTATTATAGGAGCATCATGTGAGCTACTGTTTATGGGGTGAATCATGACTCTTTCTGGAGGATCAGGGGTTAACACCAGATTTGCCCAAAAACACCTCTGTAGCATATCTCTTTTTTTAATTTTATTTTTTTATTGTCACTGTTTAAGGGACTTCAAAGCTACCAAAGGCAAAACACCCGCTCACTTAACAACAAACCGTTTAGATGTCAGCTCAATACTGAATCTAAAATCAGTCTTCTGCAACCTTACTGGATATTGACGCTATGTTCAAACTCATAACGTTCAAAATCTAACAACCTGTTCATGAAGCAAATTCCAGCCAGCAAAATTTTTTTTGCAACTTTCTAAAGATGCACAAAACCCTCACACACCAAGTGGTACAAAAAGATTTCCCATTAACTTTCCAAGATATTTTTGAGAGAGGTACACAATATATGAAATATATTTCCCTCTCCTCTTTTGTATACTTTGAAACCCTAGAGTTATGCACCTTGAAGAAATGTCATCTCTCCGAGTATCACTGTAACCACAGTGTATGCCTGAGAGAGTGGATAGCAAGTCATTGCTGAAAATAAACTCTCGTGCGGAGTTTATTTTCAGCAATGACTTGCTGAGGCAACTCGTAGTTGCACTGTGCAATTGACAGAATTATAGCATTTGATATTGTCTTTGTTTGTCATTGTTATTAAGGTGAGCTGAAGCAGAATGGCTCAGGTTTCCCTCTGACAACTCATGTTCTTAAAGAGATTGTTTACCACAGTGAATGACACATGAACTACCCTTTGGAACTTTAACTTGCAGTCTGGCTCGTGTTAATTGTGTGTGAAGGTAACTAACGCACAAATTAAAATCCAGCGATCACTGCATGTTCATAAGTCAAGAATTCTAATTAATGTCAATCATTTTTAAATGGAGAGGTTACCCAGTGTTTAGTCTAGAATAATTCTCATTAACCAGCACTGCAACACTTGTAGATATCGACCTAATTTAAAAGGAATCAAGACTTTTCCTGTGTTTTTTGCCATTTAGAATGATCTTTCATTCTAGTCTAGTCATGAGCAGTAATATTAGAATAGTTTCCAAGCTCTATATTCAATGTGGTGGTAAGAGTTTTAGAAAGTTAGAAATTATAATTGATGAATCCCATTCCAACTTTTAATTGTAAGGCCAATTTATTTAACTGTTGGTATTTCTATCAGTTGTATGAGATACAAAAGTGGACAAAAAATATTTTATGAAATATTTAAAAGACGCCTTCCTGCAACAGGAGTGTTACAGTGAAATAAGTCATCTGTTATTCAAAGGGCTCAAACTGTACACCTGCAGGGTGAATGGCATGGATGGACAGCTTAGTGATGATGTCTTATTGGAGATATTGGTGATGTCAGTCAAAGACAGAACTACACGAGTACTCTTAGTTAAGAGCATTTTAAAGTAATTCCTGCACTTAAAAATTCTGAGTTCCTTTTTTCCTCCACTAGTAATGTACAGCCATTGTTATTGTAACTTGCTCTGAGTCAGCCTAGTCAAATTTTAGATTTAAATATCAAAAACTAAAGTAAAACTAAAGTAAAGTCAGTTTATTTATTTATATAGCCCCAAATTCCAAATTTGCCTCAAAGGACTTAACAGTCTGTACACCTTTCCTCCTGAGACCCTCAGTTCAGATGAGAAAAGAACAAACTAAACTCTACAACAGGTGTGTTTTCTCATCTGCTGTCAGAGGCACAGTCATGACAGTAGATGTGTATTTGTTGAGAGACTGACCCTTGTGTTGTTTGTTAGCAGCTTTGTGAATGTAGATTCTGCTGCGTGTCCTCTACTCTCTAAGCGCTCCTGACAGTGACCTGATCACCATAGCAGCGTATCTCACACACACACACACACACACACACACACACACACGTCCTCCCCTATATGAGCAGGCCTTCTTTGAGCAGCCTCCTTGACTGAGGATGGTATGACGTCAGACCTCTGTTACCATAGAAACACCTGCGCTGCCCTCTGTTAACCACTGTGCTTGCTGTCAGCTGATAACCATGTTACAGGCTGACAGTTATCACTTGTTGATGAAAGCAGGGAAGCAGATGCCCGGCTGTTAATTGGTGGCTTGAAGCACACATCAGTCTCTGTAATAGTAGTCAATATTGTCTCATTCTTTTCCTGTTATAAACCACCATAATGTTTTTAAAATTAATTAGCATGCCGGTTGTGGGTGTATTCCACTGGCATCCCAGATAAGCTAGGTCTCCCTGTCTCTCAGTTTGTGAGAGCAGTGGGCAGGCCTCCTCTGGTCAGAAACTTCACAAAGTGCCAATGCAAAGAACATAAAACGCAAAAAGTATAAAAAAGAAATTGCACTACGTTGCACTGCGCATAGATATGTTTTTATACATGAACATTTTATATACATAAATTTTGAAGTGAAACTATGTTCTTTTTTTCCGAGGGGACGGGAGGGGTGTCGTCACTGCCCGTTTGGGAAAAAAATGGGGTGTCAGGGATCGAGGTTGTGTACCTCTGGGGTCCCCCATTATTAGCAAGTGATCTTGACAGTCAATGTCTTGCTCTCTGTGTCAGATTTATCCTACTAAACTTAGTAGAGCTGGCAGTTGTAGAATTGTGGTACTGGAGAAGTACAGTGTGGTACTTAGGTAGTCAGTCACTTTCGCTGTCCTTGGAGGAGTGCCAAGGTTCGAAAGCAGCACCTGCCTTGTCTGATTGATGGGAAAACAACGGTCTCTGTAGCTGCACTTTGTCATCTTGACAACAGATGCTTTATAGTGTTTTATTGCCTGGAGTTTTTTTTTTCTCACAATACACACATTTTAGCCATAAAGCTCATCTTTGTGCTTCCTGTACTTAAACACTTTCATGTTTCTTTACTGAGCTGAGATAGTAACTGTGTAGATACCGTTATTAGTGCTGGATACCACTTTAACTCTGTTATCTCTGGTTTGATCACCGATCGAGTGTCGAACGCTGCCCGTCAGCTCTCTCTCCATCCTCAGTGTAAGCACCTTTAGATTCCACCAGCAGGGTTAGAGGCTGATGCTTTTGCTGGCAGACAATGGGACCGTTCCTCTGTGTTTAGCTAACAGGTTCCTGTGCTTGCCAGCAACTATTCCACCTTATTTCAAGTTGCACTAACCTGGTGTGTGATGAACAAGGCCCAGGATATATCAATAAGAGTGCCTTTGGTCTCCACAGCCAGAAAGAACTCTGGGTACAGAGCTGCTGTTGTTCACAGATCTTGGATGGGAGAACTTCAATGGATTTTTGTGAAATAGATCCACAACTGCAACTTTCACATAGAAAATGAGAGGTGGAGATTGAATTTGACTGTTAATGTGGGTGTGCGGGGAAACTGGAGATTTCTATTAGATGGAAAGCAGACATGCGACACGCAGTGACGATACAGATGGATTCCCAGTTTCAGGGCTTTCTTGTACATATGCAACATAAAGCAAACCGTGAGGCTTTTTCGTATATTTTTGTTTTCTTTGTTGATGTATCTCTATTATATGAAAAGGAAACTTTTTTACATTACAGTTGCTCTGAATATTTTCCTTCTTTTTTTTTTTTTAAGTCGATTGAGAAGCTATAGTGAACATAACACATAAAGATTCAATATGTATAGTAGCTTAGAGGCAAAGGGGAGAAAAACAAAACCTGTTGAATGTAAATCCTACAAAAAAATTTGCCTTTATTGTTATTAAATTTGCTGGATAGTTTGTACTGCCTATAATGAACCTGTATTGCATCCTGTTTTTGGTATTGAAATCTTTTTAACACCCACAGACAGCTGTTGCCACACTGCTAAGTCATATCTAATAACACAACCATGCAGTATTGCTTTACACTCTTCCTTTGTACAATAAGATGCTTTATAATGGAACAAAAACTAACTTGAGTTTTTGGTCACACCTGGGCTACTTGCTCACGCTGTTGCTGTTCATCTCGTCTTTCTTCCTGCCAAATAGTTTTTTGTTTTTTTTTCCACCCCCCAGAACACGTGTCGTTATATGTTGTCTGTGGTTTTGATGTTAAGTTGTTGTTAGGCAGGATAATCTTTGACTTTTGGTCACAATGAAAATTGTATCCTTGTGTGAATCTTTATCCTGCCCTGCACATTCCAACGCGGTGCGCTTTTAGTGTATTCCACTTGTTTGCTAACAGACATATCCTTCCCATGTCCTTATTACTACAGTGGTTCTTTTCTGATCACCTCCTCCTTCTCCATTTCTTGTTCTTCTGCTATCCAGCTTTACTGTGGTCCTACCCAAGCCTTTTACCCAGTGTATTAAGCTAAATTAAACCCTTGAAATGTGCATCAAAAAGAGCCCTCGTTTTCTCCAAAAATGTCAAAAATATATGTGCCTCTTCCTTGAATGTCAGTTTTCAGGTGTGTGTAAACCAGCAGCAGCAAAGCCAATAGCTTTTCTCTCAAATTAAATGCAAGGCATTGCAATGGCAGCTCCACTCAGTTCTCTGCTTCTTCTAATGTGCTTTTATTTTTCAGTCCAGGCTTTTATCCTCTGTCTGTCAGAGCTTTCCTTTGATGACCTTTTCCCCACCTCTTGTGCTTTTACTGAGCCTTGCACTGGCTGGTGTGAAAACTGACTTTTGTTTTTCCTGTTTTTGTTTTCTTATCGATTGATTGAGGGATGGAAATATTGGTTGTCTGGATGAGTTTAAGGTTGTTTTGCTTGTCTAGCAGTGCTCATTCCCCCTGCCCCCCTTTTTTTTTAATTTTGTTTTGTTAGGAGATTACGACACTGAAGGGTTTTATGTATAAGATTTCCTCTAAACATAAAGATGCCGCCTGATGCCCACAAACAGAGCTAAAAGCATTTTGAGGGAAACATGACATAAGCCTTGGGTCTTCACTGGAGGGCGAGATTTCTCCTGTGTGTGGGCTCGGGCTCTGGTCTTTATCAGCCGTCCCACGCACATGGAGGAAGCACTTTCTGAGGAGTGGTGCACTCAAGGAGTATTTGTGTGAATGTCAAGCCTGTGATCAGTGCTTGAAAAGTTGGATGACCATGTATGATGATGATAATGTGATATGTGATGTAATGTGACAGAAAGTAAATAAACCTCTATGGAAGAAGTCTGCAGGCATATTGTTTATTTCATCTTAATATGTACAGTCAAGGCCAAAAATATTGGCACCCCTCATTTCTGGTAATCACTTTATTTGGCAAAGTATGTTACACACAAGGAATTTGTTTCCGGTACAGAACTGAGGAAGCCATCTCACACCGATGGTTCTAACCATCGGGGGTATCTTGGGGTTCAGCCTCTTGCCCAAGGACACTTTGACTGCAGGCACTGATTTGGACTTCCAACCCTCCGGTTGGAGATGACTGCTCTACCCACTGAACCACTGTCGCCCCTGTGCTAGGTGATACACCACTTCTCCCAGAAGATTGTTGCAGTCAATTCTGTAAAGTCTTTTGTTTGCATTGGAACAACGCAAAAAGCTAAATCCAATCAATTCCACACAGAACTCAAAAAACAGATTGGACAGAATTATTGACACCTTTTCAAAATCATCAGAAACAGTTGTATTTCAAGCATGTGATGCTCCTGCAGTTTGTAATGAAACTCATCTGCTGACACAAAACCAAAAAAAGTTTGCCAAAACCCTGCTGGGAGAATATCCTGTGGACAGATGAGTCTAAAATAGCTTTTTGTTAGAGAACATCATTCTGCTGTTTTCAGAAAACAATATTAAGGGTGTCACTAATTCTGTCAAGTCCACTTTTGGAGTTTGGTGTGGAATGTATCAGATTTGGCTTTTTAGAAACATGAGAATACCAAAGAATTTGTGATTGCAACAATTTCAAGTGGTACATTATCTGACATTAAATGAGGGGTGCCAATATTTTTGGCCATGACTAGATTAATAAGAATCTCTGTGGATAAATTACAAAAAATGAAATGTGGCAATGTAGGAGCGATAGAGTGGTTCCCTTCCTCAGCCAGCTTTGTTTGACTTGTCTGCTCTGCCCTCTTGTGGACAGCACCCAGTAACAACACAACCATCCAACAGGCACAACAAAATAAAAGGCACAGCACACGTCGGTCACTTCTTTACAGCAGCAATTTCAAAATTTATTGAGACTGATTGGTTTTTGCAAATAATAGTCAAGCTAATTCTTCCACTAAACATGAAGTTAGAAAGAGGCTTGGGTGGCCGGTGGGCCAGCCCCAACATCAAAACAGGAGGCTCATGGTTGACTGTAAAAATGTTTTGTGATCGGTACTATCAACCAGAAAATATCTGCACAAGAGCACTTAAATCTGCCCAAAACAAAACGGGTGTAAAAACAGGACAGGGTTGTGTTTTTTTTGATTGTTTAACACATTTTGTTACAAACACAGGTTTATGATAATCATCAATATAAAGTCAGTATCATATTGAACAATATTCCCAATTAAACAAACCTCAAGCTTCAGGTGCGACCTTTTACAAATTAAAGACCATCTGAAACTTGAGAGAAAATAAATAATATATAATAGTAATATAAATTCATATATATGAAGGTATACACACGTCACTCTTAGTAGAAGAACAGAATCTAAGTAAAAAGCGCCAATTTTGAAATATAGTATAATAATAGATATACCCATATCTATGGCTTCATGATTTGCACGTGAATCAAGCTATACAGGCTAAATGAGGATTTCAATTTGTACACATCTAAGAATACCCATATTCACCTGCAACAGAGCAAAGATTTCCAGTTTTGCATTGTGTAGAATGAGACAGTTGTGTGCAGATGCTGAAGATGTTGCTTTGGTATGACAAAATGAACACAGGCATGCAATTAAAACCACAGAATCAGGGCACAAAAGGTCATCAACACACGGTGAGAAGGAGAATCTAGTTGCCCATCATGATTTGTCTCTTTGAAGTTTTGTCCTTGAAAACATTTTGCACCTCTAATCTGATCAGTCGCGCCTGTAATCTCTATCCACTGATACAAACATTCAGTCATCTCTCAGAAACAAACACTCACAAGCACACAGGTGAAATGTCATTGAGGCACATATTGAGGGGTTGATGGCAGACATTTTCCTGAATTACAACCCAGTATGAGGAAGAAGACATGCAGTTCGTGAGAACAGTGCAGGGCACGGGAGTCGCACATACATCCAGACGTCTCTCGGTGGCCACAACAGTACCACAGGACAGAGATTTGTCACTGATCATGGGCTCCTTCAACACCCACCATTGACATTCATTAAAATCCAATCCCATTGTCTTTCTCTTTTTTCCATCCCCAGAGTACAACTCTTTGATAAATGGGTCAAACAAAAACACAATAAATAATACAAATAAAATAAAGACAGTTGCCAGACATGAAGAAAGCATCACAAATCGCATTGTACAGAGAGTTTCTCAGTGGGTGCTAATGGGAAGTGCAGTCCACGGCACCTGTAGCAGAGAGGCCTGATGTGTGAGACCAGCGCTGGCAACACAATGTTTCCCAGAGTTACTACTGCAGCACTCATGTTCCCTTTATGTTAGTGAACTAGAGTCAAACCAATAAAACACTAGCAGATAGAAATACAGCATGTAGACTCAACACACTTTTGTCTGCATGCTGCAGTTCTACTCGATTGTGTGTCATGCGAAGGCATGAAACAAACTAAAACAAAAATTTATATTACAAAAATCTGCTTGGTTTTAAAATGCAGTCTTCAAAAGCTTGCTGGTCCTTTCACACAGCCCTTCATATTCACAATAACACCATCACATGTGCACCTTTTCAAACTGTGACAAATAGTGACAGATTCAAAAATAAAAACAACCCAACAACAAAACTGTAAATCACAACAGTAAATCCAAAAGCACCTGCACACACAGACTGTGAAACAAAAGCAATTCATGTATACAAGGTACTAGATTGTTTTTGGTTCCATATGAATCAATTAGTGTACATTAATGATGCAAGAGCATGTGTTGAATATATGTTTCAGTCAATATCTAAGAGAATTTTGACAGTGAAGTTTGTTTTTCCCCTTGGTAAAAAAGCAAATACAACAGGAAAGCGTAAACTGGCACAATAAAAGGTCGATAAAAGCCCCATGGCTTGCTGTCCACAACAAGGCAAAGTATAAAAGCTTTTTTTTTCTTATAGAGGATATAAAATATCAAAAAAAGAACACACAATAAAGCTTAGCATCCAGCACTTATTAATAATTAATAATAGATACATCAACAACAGTAATCATAGTTCTGATAATCATATAATAAGACACGTCATCTGCCTCATCTGACTTGTCAATAACTTTGCCAAAAACATGGAAAGCATATTAAGAAGCCAATACAGACTTTTTTGGACATTGGACATTCAAACATTCTGGCATTCAACCACCCATACTTTTCCACACACACACACACACACACACAGAGGAGGGAATGACTTCTTAAAAATTAAGAATCACCAACAGATTTTTCAATAAATAACTGTTAAAAAAACCAAATTAATATTACACTCTCTACAAATATCAGACTGAATTTCAAGCACTGTTTTGATCCTCTTCTTTTAACCTTAAAAAGCCAGACAAAATATATCACCAAAAGAAAAATAACCCATGAAAAGAGTCTGCATATTCTGTATTAAGAATTTGAAATTACAGGGGGGGCATTTTTAAACAAAGGCAGCTCCTCCTTAGGTTGAGAGAGACGTGGATCTCAGGTCCTATCATCACAACCTCCAGTGCGACAGAAATGAACCAGAGACAGTGGGAGAGACTGAAAGAGGTAATAGTGTGTATGCAATGGGACACGTGACGTGGACCCACTGTGTGCTTGTGTTGATTTTCCAAAGAGGGAAGCAGAAACTGTTGTCCACTTTGTGTGTGAAGAGGTTTAAAACTCATTCATACACTGTGAAAGTCTCTTTCCATCTCTCTGTCTCTCTCTGTCTCACACACACACACTTCATATCCATTTAAATCCCCCAAAATGTATATACATTTGTCAAATCTCCAGTATTTGTCGGAATGAATCGATGGAAACCTTGCAATAAACTTAAGTGAAGAAAAGGTTAAGGACCCCACTGAAAGGCAAAGGCTATATAAACAGCAATCTGCACAAAGATTCAGTGATTTTCTATATCGTGATAACAGTCAGGAGGACATAAAGTATATCCTTAAAGGTAGGTGCGGTCACCGAGTTGTTTAGGTAAGTAAATATCAGATCAAAAATGTAAACCATGGGTTCAGGGCTTTGATAGAAGTCAGTTGTTATTAAAGTGCAAGTCTGTGGCAGTAGGACTGCATCAACAGTGTGCCGTCAGGCTGCCCGGTCCCCTGACACACATAGCTTTGCAATAGATTGAGACTCTCCCTTCACTTGTAGGGAGACACTTTCCCCAGAAACATTACAGCCGAGGAGGAACCAAG